TGGTAAAGAAGAAGTCAAATTATCACTATTTGCAGATGATATGATAGTATACTTGAGTCACCCCAAAAACTCTACCAGGGAACTCCTACGGCTGATAAATACCTTCAGCAATGTGGCCAGATACAAAATTAATTAAAAAAAATCAGTAGCCCTCCTATATACAAAAGACAAAAGGGCTGAGAGAGAAATTAGAGAAAAAAAAAACCCTTCACAATAGCCACAAATGACATAGAGTACCTTGGAGTAACCCTAACCAAGCAAATCAAAGACTTGTATGAAAAAAATTTCCAGTCTCTGAAGAAAGAATTAGAAGAAGATATCAGAAGATGGAAAGATCTCCCACGCTCATGGCTTGACAGGATTAACATAGTAAAATGGCCATTTTACCAAAAGCAATTTACAGATTCAATGCAATTCCCATCAAATTACCAACTCAATTCTTTACAGACCTAGAAAGAAAAATTCTCAACTTCATATGGAATAACAAGAAACCCAGAATTGCTAAAACAATCCTCTACAATAAAAGATCTTCCAGGGGTAACTCCATCCTTGATCTTAAGCTATACTATACAGCAACAGTAATAAAAGCTGCATGGTACTGGCATAGAAACAGAATGGTGGATCAACGGAACTGAGCAGAGGACCCAGAGATAAACCCACACACTTATGGACACCTGATCTTTGACAAAGATGTCAAAACCATACAATGGAAAAACGATAGCATCTTAAACAAATGGTGCTGGTCCAACTGGATGTCTACATGTAGAAAAATGAAAATAGATCCATACATATCACCCTGCACAAAACTAAAGTCCAAGTGGATCAAAGACCTCAACATAAAACCAGACACATTAAATCGGTTAGAAAAAAATAAGTGGGAATAACTTTGAACTCATTGGAACAGGAGACAACTTCCTAAACAGAACACCAACAGCACAGGCTCTAAGAGCAACAATCAATAAATGGGACCTCATGAAGCTGAAAAGCTTCTGTAAATCAAAGGATACCGTCATCAAAACAAAACGACTGCCTACAGATAGGGAAAGAATCTTCACCAACCCTCTATCAGATAAAGGACTAATATCCGGTATATATAAAAACTAAAGAAGCTGAAAAGCAGCAAACCAAGTACTCCAATTAAAAAATGGGGAACGGAGTTAAACAGAGAATTCTCTTTAGAGGAATATCGAATGGCAGAGAAGCACTTAAAGAAATGCTCAACCTCATTAGCCATTAGGGAAATGCAAATCAAAACAACCCTGAGATTTCATTTTACACCCATCAGAATGGCCAAGATGAAAAACCAAATGATAACACATGCTGGAGAGGTTGTGGAGAAATGGGAACCCTCCTCCACTGCTGATGGGAATGTAAACTTGTACAACTATTCTGGAAATCAATTTGTTGCTATCTCAGACAACTAGGAATAGCGCTTCCTCAAGACCCAGCCATACCACTCCTAGGCATATATCCAAAAGAGGCTCAAGTACACAATAAGGACATTTGATCAACCATGTTCATAGTAGCTTTATTTGTAATAGCCAGAAGCTGGAAACAGCCAAGATGCCCCTCAGTGGAGAAATGGATGCAAAAATTGTGGTACATCTACACAATGGAGTATTACTCAGCAATGAAAAATAAGGAAATTGTGAAATTTGTAGGTAAATGGTGGGACCTATAAAGGATCATCCTAAGTGAGCTGTCCCAGAAGTAGAAAGACACACATGGTATATACTCACTTATATAGACATAACATAGTATACACCTACTAAAAACTGTACATTGAAAGAAACTAAGCAAGAGAGAGGACCCTGACTAAAATGCTCAATCCCCATCCTGAAAGGCAAAGAGGCTGGACATCAGAAGAAGAAGAAAATAGGAAACAACCTAGGAACCTACCACAGAGGGCCTCTGAAAGCCTCTGCCCTGCAGACCATCAAAGCAGACACTGAGACTTATGGCCAACTGTTGGGCAGTGTGCATGGAATCTGATGTAAAAAGTGGAAAATAGTAAGAGCTGGAGAGGACGGGAACCACACAAGGAGAGCAACAGAACCAGAACACTTGAACACAGGGAACTTCCCAGAGACTCATACTCCAACCAAGGACTATTCATGGAGATAACCTAGAACCCCTGCACAGATGTAGCACATGATAGTTCAGTATCCAAGTGGTTTACATAATAAAGGGAAGAGGAACCACCTCTGACATAATCTGATGGGCCTGCTCTTTGATCACCTCCCCCTGTGGGGGGAGCAGCCTTATCAGGCCACAGAAGATGACAATGCAGCCACTCCTGAGGTGATCTGATAGACTAAGAGCAGAAGGAAGGAGAAGAGGACCTTCCCTATCAGTGGACTTGGGGAAGGGCATGCATGAGAAAGGGGGAGGGAGGGTGGGATCGGGAGAGGAGGAGGGAGAGGCTTATGGGAGAATACAAAATGAATAAAGTATAATTAATAGTAAAAATAATAAAAAAATTAAAAAAAAATTCTCCTTTAGGGGAAAAAAGTGCTTGGGGAGCGTGGAGACCTAGGGACCTCCATATAATTCCCTTGAGAAAGTCTCAAGGAGAAGTAGGCCCTCGTCTCCCAGGTCCGGCTGGCTGGGCCTCAGCGTGATCCTATTAAGCATGATTTTTATGTCATCACCTCTCTTCGTGACATTGGGTTATCATCATAGACCCAGCCATGGAAAGACACAGCTACAAGTGCTTTCTGATCCTCAACAATAGCTGCTTACCGAAGCTGACAAGACTTCCTAAGAGGTAGGTGGGGGAACGTTTAGGCCGCACAGGGTAGCAGGGTTGAGACAATGTCAAGGGCCTGAGGGACACCATTTCTCATCTCTGTGAAGCACAGGGTGGTTAGGGTAGAAGAGAATGGGTTCAGCGCACTTTAAGTCCTTTTCTGCAGAAAACGTTCAGGTCATAGTAACCTGAGGAGGTTCCTTTCCGGTTTCTGACTTTGGGGATAAAAGCAAGGGTGGCTGCCTATTCTGTCCTAACAGGACAGCAAAGCACAGAAGATAAGTGCATGCTACAAGGTTAGTCGATGCCAAGGAAGCCAAAATACTAAGAGAATCGCCTTTAGCCTCACTGCTTCCACAGTCAGATGAGCCAGCTCACACCTTTCATTACCATGGCCACTGTCCTAGCATTGTTACCACCAACCATCTCATCCCTTTTCGGCAAGGCCATGCAGAGCATCCCTGCAGAATGGACAAACATCTGCTGGAGCAGCCATTATGCACCAGAGGAAACATCACCAGGTGATGATCCCTTCTCTGCAGGGACTAACTCTCGCCTTGAAATCCTAGGATGGATTCTCATTTTTACTGCTAGCACTAAAAGTTCACAGGAGACACATGAACTCAAAATATGGTGGAGAATTCTGTGATAGCTCTAATGTTCATCTGTGGCTGCTGGTTGAAAAGCTCTCAAATGCCTTTGAGAACATTACTGGAATTCTTACTGTATTTTATGCCATTGGTGTCTGTCAGATTGTACCTGCCCTTATCAGTGGTCCTACCCATGCATGTACTTCCCGCTTGGCTATAGAATGTTCACCAAGTGAGAGATGAAGAGCTACAGATCAAAAAATATGGGCTCATGGGTCTCCTCTTAGGTTGATACTCCAACCAGGGACCATGCATGGGGATAACCCAGAAACTCTAGAACCACCACCCAGATGCAGCCCTTGGCAGCTCAGTGAGTTACAAGGTGAATTCCAGGTGAGTTCCCTAGTAATGGGAACAGGGACTTTCTTTGTCATGAACTCAGTGGCTCGACCTTTGAACACTTCCTCCTGATCGTGAAGCAGCCTTAACAGGCCACAGAGGTAGACAATGCCATTAGTTCTGATGAGACTTGATAGGCTAGGTCTCATGGATGGGGAGGAGGCCTTCCTGTAACAATGGACTTGGCAATGGGCATGGGAGTACATGAGGGAGGAGGGTGGAAATGGGTGGTGATGAGAGAGGAGGCTACAGATGGGATGCAAAGTTAAGCAACTGTGTTTTATAACAAAAAATAAATGCATTTTAAAGAAGCTCTTACATGGTTTTGAGTCTACTACTGGAAATATCACTGTGTCTCATGCCATGTGTCTGTAAGATTTCACCTGACCTTATCAGTGGTCTTACATGTCCTTGTATTTTCTGATTTGATGAGGAATGTTCACTAAGTAAGAGAAGAAAGAAACACAAATGATGATATCCAGGGCCAAAGGAAAACCCATGAATCTTGTGATTTCCCTAGATCCAAATTCTAGGCTAAGTATCATTAGGGTGCAAATGTGATCGCTAATGCCAATTGTGACAATTGTTCCTATGGTGCTAGGCAATGTAGGAGATTTAAAGCCTACTCAATTACTGCAGCTCCTGCTCCAGAGTGGCAGTGCAAGTAGAAACCTAAAATCAGGGATGAATGGATTTGGTAATTCTACAAATCTACTGCAGGAAATCACCCAAATTGAAATCCCAGAGCACAGCTCTCAGCTATACTGTTCTGTCTGTAAATATTTACACATATGTATTTGAGGGAAAATGATGGGAGTCCAGGAAAGTTGGAATTTATGCTCTAGAAATGGAGGCGTCCTGAGCAGACCATTCTTGGATTCACCGAAAGACAATAATTTGAGACCAGTAGAAACTGTAAAAGCTGGAGGCATAGTCAATGGAAATTGTGTCGCAAGCCAGCAACTTTCCACTTACCTGAATGGTGTGATGTTTGGACTGCAAGCTTTCAGGGCAGATGAGTACAAGACAAGAGAGAAGACAGAGGCATGAGCCCCCTGCCTCTTGGCAGCATAGTCTAGTGGAGCATTCTAAATTCACAAAAGGTGATTGTTCATGGGGCCCTCAGTGTTCACACACAGATGTGCCCCAGGAGTGTATAGGAATCTCCCTCAGGAAAAATGGGGCTTTGGGAACTAAGGACCTCCATAAACATCACTTGTCTCAAGGGGAAGTAGGCCCTTGTCTCCCACATCTTGTTGGCTGGGCCTCAGCATAATCCTAACAAGAATGATTTTTTTGTCATCACCTGTCTTCGTGACATTGCGTTGTCACCATAGACCCAAACATGGACAGTCAGAGCTACACATGGTTTTTGATCCTCTACAATAACTGCTTACCAGAGCTGACAAGACTTCCTCGGAGGTAGGTTGTGGTAAGTTTAGCCTGCATGGGATAGCTGGGTCCAGACGACTTCAAGGGATGCAGGGGCAGCATTTTTCTACTCTGTGAAGTAGCAGATTGTGAGTATAGTGGAAGAGAATGTGGTCAGTGCATCTGTATGTCCTCTCCTGCCTAAAAAGATCAGGTCAAAGTAATGTGAGGATGCACCTACAGGAATAGTGCTTTTGGGGATAAGAGCAGTAAAAGGCTTCTTTTGCATCCTTGAATGAATGCCAAGCACCCATGAACAATGATGACCAACAATTTAGTCAGGACCAAATAAGTAAAAGCACTGATTTCTAGGGAAATACATACTGTGTCATGGCATTGGTGTTATACTTGCACTTATTATTGGGCCTGCAGGTGGTTGTACTTACGATTGGCTGGAGAATGATCTGAGCAGAGTTTCTAGGTTATATCTGTATATGGTCCTTGGTTTGAGTATCATTCTCAGAAAATCCCCCTGTGCCCAAATATATTTAGTCCTTTTAGAACTTCTATCCTTTCCTCATCATACTATCTCCCTCTTCTTTCATATGATTCCCTGCACTATGAGGAAGTTTTGGTTATGAATCTAATTAACTGCTTTGATATACTGCTCTGTAGTGGCTTTCAGAGGCCCTCTACAGTAGGCTCCTGTCCTGTTACTTGTTTTCTCCTATGTCCAATTCCTATCCCATTTGTCTAAGTGAGGATTGATCAGCTTACTCTGGATCTTCTTTCTTGTTTATCTTTTTTAGCTGTATAGATTTCATTATGTTTATCATATTTTATAGGTCTATATAAGTGAGTATATATCATGTGTGTGTTTCTCCTCCTGGGATACCTCACTCAGAATTATCTTTTCTAGATCCCACCATGTATCTGCAAATTTCATGATTTCCTCATTTTTGATTGTTTAGTAGTATTCCATTGTGTAAAAATACCACAATTTCTTTATCCATTCCTCCATTGATGTACATCTGGGTTACTTGGAGGTTCTGGCTCTTACAAATAAAGCTGCTTCATGAGCAAATGTACATGTTGTTTACTTGAGCAACTATATGCCTAGAAGTGGTATAGCTGGGTCTTGAGGAATCACTATTCCTAATTATCTGAAAAAGCACCAGATTGATTTTCACAGTTGTTGTACCAGTTTACATTCCCACCAGGAATAGAGGAGGGTTCCCCTTTCTCCACAACCTCTCCAGCATTTGTTATCATTTGAGTTTTTAATTTTAGCCATTTTTGGGTGTTAGGTGAAATCTCAGGGTTGTTTTTATTTGCTTCTCAGTGATGGTGAAGTACGTTGAACATTTTTTAAGTGTTTCTCTGCCATTTTATATTCCTCTACAGAGAATTCTCTGTTTATCTCTGTACCCCATTTTTTAAATTGTATTACTTGATTTATTACTTTTTAACTTCTTTAGTTTTTTATATATTCTGGATATCAGCCCTCTGTTAGATATAGGGTTGATGAAGATCCTTTCCCTGTCTGTAGGCTGGCGTTTTGTTCTGATGACAGTGACTTTTGCTTTAGAGAAGCTTTTCAGCTTCATGAGGTCCCATTTATTGATTGTTGCTCTTAGAGCCTGTGCTGTTGGTGTTCTGTTCAGGAAATTGATTCCTGTGCCAATGAGTTCCAGGCTCTTCCCCATTTTTTGTTCTTACCGATTTAGTATGTCTGGCTTTATGTTGAGGTCTTTGATCCACTTGGACTTTAGTTTTGTGCAGGGTGATAAATATGGATCTATTTGCATTTTTCTGCATGTAGACATCCAGTTGGACCAGCACCATTTGTTGAAGATGCAGGGTCTTTTTTCCTTTGAATCATTTTGGGTTCTTTGTCAAAAATCGAGTATTCATAGGTGTGTGGGTTTATTTCTGGGTCTTCTATTCAGTTCCATTGATCCTCCTTTCTGTTTTTATGCCAATACAATGCAGTTTTTATTACCATTGCTCTGTAGTACAGCTTGAGATCGGGGATGGAGATACCTCCATATGATTTGTTGTTGTACAAGATGGTTTTGGAGATTCTGGGTTTTTTGTTTCTCCATAAGAAGCTGAGAATCTTTCTTTCAAGGTCTGTAAAGAATTGAGTTGGTATTTTGATGGGAATTGTGTTGAATCTGTAGATCGTTTTTGGCAGGATGGCCATTTTCGCAATGTTAATCCTACCATCCATGAGCATGGGAGATCTTTCCATCTTTTGATATCTTCTTCAATTTCTTTCTTCAGAGACTTAAGGTATTTTTCAAACAGGTCTTTCACTTGCTTGGTTAAAGTCACTCCAAGTTACTTTATGTTATTAGTGGCTATTGTGATGGCTGTTGCTTCCCTGATTTCTTTTCTGGCCATTTTGTCTTTGGTATACAGGAGTGCTTCTGATTTTTTTTGAGATAATTTTGTATCAAGCCACTTTGCTGAAGGTGTTTATCAGCTGAAGGAGTTTTCTGATTGAATTTTTGGGGTCGCTCATGTATACTATCATATCATCTGTGCCATTTGTTAATTGTTAATCTGAGCCTGTGCTGTTAGTGTTTTCTAGTATGCCAATCTTTGAAGGCTCGTTCCCAATTTTTCTTCTAGCAGATGTAGTGTGTCTGGGTTTTATGTTGTGGTGTTTGTTCAAATTGAACTTTTGTTTTGTGAAGGGTTATAAATATGGATCTCTTTTTATTGTCGAACATTCAGATATCCCATTAGACAAGCACCATTTGTGGAAGATCCTCTCTTTTTTCTATTGCATGATTTTGGCTTCATTGTAAAAAATCAAGTATCTCTAGGTATGTGGTGTATTCTGGGTCTTCAACTTGACACTTGTCAATATTCATCCAGAGAAAACAACTCTCATCACAAATGTATCCCTTTACAAGAGAAGCCTCAAATAGTTAGACTCCTGGGCTATGAAAGGATGATTGAAAGCTCAGTGTTGCAATACTGGTATCAAAAATGAAAATGAATGAATTATCTTTTGACTTTGTTATGATAGAAGAAAACATACAAAAATATCATTTGGCAAGAGTTGTAATACATTCTTTTTATACTTACCATGCTGTGTTTCAGCAAATGAAATTAAAACTCATATGTTAGAGATGAAAAATGTATGAAATTTTATATTTAATTTTATTAACTTCTCTGACAATGGACATCTAGAGCTCAGGCTCAAAATTTGTATAGAGGAAAAATTATGGTACATTTTAAGTTCAGTTTTAGGATGGAAAAGCTTGAAAAATTTCACTGGAAATTAATAGAGCAAAATTCTAAGATGAAATGATACCTAGAGAAAAGTGAAAAAACTTTGTTTGCAATCTGAGTATCTACATCATAGGAGCAAATGGAATAAATTTGTAATGTTTATTGTCTGTGTTCTATAGGACTGCACTCCTAATTGCATATCCATTTCAATTTTCCCTATTTATAAATTGAATGATCCTGGAAATAGTGGGGATACTTCATCCTTTACACCAACTTGGGGAAAGGGCGAGGGCAGTCATTGTCCTCAAATATTCTTGGGAC